TGTCCATGCTTGACTGCCATAAGGCTCAAGAGGATAAGACTCTGCGCATAAAAGACACTAGCGGTCTGCACCTCAACCGTGTACGCCCTAGTCACTCTTTCACCCCCTCCCCCCCACTAAATTCAATTCTCTCCTGGAGAACGTCTTCGTGAGCCTCTCATGATTTCAGGCAGAAAGAGTGCATATGAAATTCTAATCACGAAAGGTGTTCCCCGAGGGGATACATACCTAGAGTTTGTTTTGTGAAGCACGTCAATTCTCTCCTGGGGAACGTCTTCGTGAGCCTCTTATGGTTTCAGGATAGTTCAAATCCTATGATGCTCCGATTCAATGCTCACCGATGATCTGAGCCATGGGCAAGTTTGTTTTCCTAAGAATCTGTTTGAACATTTCGAGAGCATATGTTTGAACATTTAGAGAGCGTATGAAATTATATTTACGAAAGGTCGCCTCCGATGGGATAAATCACCATGTCGAACATTGTTTTTTTTCCTGCCTCTCGCGTTCTCTTCTCTTCCCGCTGTCCTACCTTTCGTGTCTCCCTCCTCTCAAGTATATAAGTATATGTGTATATGTACATATATATATATATATTTATGTAGATGTGTATATGTATATGTATATGTATATGTATATAATATAAATGTATATATGTATATATGTCATTATGTATAATATACATATATTAAGTTCAAGAGGATACAACGACAAAGTTGGGCAATCAAGGAAGTTTTACCAACAGGGTCCTTGCGACAGAAAGCTGGGAGTATTTTGGTTCCAACTGAGAGACTCCTGGACCCTTGGCCCTGATCCTTCTCCTCGCATCCCCCATAGATGCTCGGTCTTGAAGCGTTGGGTTGCATCCACGCCTGATACTTTGTGGATCCAAATCATCGTCTCTACCCACATTGGCCGATGAGGCACTCCTGCTCCCCAGCCTTATTGGCTGTGCTTCGCTCCTTTGTTGGCGGCGGCCGGAGCGGAGCACGGCGGTACTGTTGGGCCCCCCGGAAAATTATCGGCAACGTCGAACATATCGTATCATGGAGCGGAGGGTTGTGACCCGGGTAATGGATGTGTAGTTCTTTGATTGATTCCTTTACCTGCTTTAAGGAGAAGGTATCTTTTTCAGGAACGGTTAGCCCGGGACATCCCAGCAGCTTTTATCACCGAGTTGTAGGATTGAGTGTTGGCTTGTGTAGATGGTGAGCCGTTGATGGGCCATTTCTGGCGCCAAGAGGGGCGAACTGGGCGAATTAGCGCCCGTGAACCACCCCTGCACCTGTCTGAGTTTTTTGGTTTCTCCCCTCTGATCAGACACCAAACAACATGCACGTTCCCCATTGGCTCAAAGGGCAGATTGACTTCAAGCCCATCCTAAACACCATCTGAGCAAGTATGTCGATCCTGGGGAATACAGCTTCACTGTGCTCCCCAAATAGAAATATATAGTTTCTTTGATGTTGACCTAGTGATTGATTATATTGATTGAGACTCCCAAGGCTGGCGCTTTGTGGCGCGTTGCTCTCCCCATTGGGGGTGGAGCTTGTCAGGCAAGGGCTTGTTTCTTGGTGTCCGAATAATTTGGGGACTCAGCAAGATTGAGCCCTCGAGCGCCTAAGAAAGCTGGAGGCAAGGCCATCTAGGGTGGGTTTGCACGCTTGGTTGGCCCCACAATTGTTTCTATGTCCTAGCCCATATTATGTTTTCCCATGGTTCAAGTTGGTTCACCCAATCTTTCTTGAGCAAACAGCCGTTGTGCATTCAAACTTTAAGACAAGCAGAGCATCAAGAGAATTTTAAAACTGAGATGAGGAAACTTTGAATGACTCAAAATTAAATTGTCAGGCTTTATCGGTGGATTGACTTGGGAAGAGGAATATCCCAGTCTGACACAATGCTGACAATGCTTGGCCGGTGGGTTTTTGGACCAACATCCAGTGTTTCTTCACCCACCAGCTGAAACCATGGAGGCCCATAGCGCGGCTGGTCGTGTCCTGGGTCTCCACGTCTGCTGCAAAGCTGTGCAGTGACGTGTTGGTGAGGAACGCTCCGAGCTGAGACGTGTTGGTGACCTGTAGATAGAAACAGGTGAACAGGGTGAATAGGGGAATCAACCTCCCCCCGTTTGAGTCCGAAGAGGAACACTCGAACCCTGTGATTGAAGAGTCTGAATGGTTTCCCTATGCAGAGATGGAGCTAGGTCAGTCCGATGTGAACATCCCTCAATAAACAAGCAGTTTTGCTTGTTCTTTTTAAACCATTTGTCTGAGTAGTCAATTTGTCTCAAAGTTCGCAGACTCCTTGCATTTCCAATTTATCGAGGTACTTTCAAGGACGGTCACGACTTGAAGACACATCACCTTGGGTGAGTGATCTGACAGGTTTAGATGTTGGGACATTGCAAGCGATGCAATGGCCAAATGACAGAATTCATCCATGCTATTTTCCCACCACCAGGTGAATGAATTGGATACATGCCTATCATTGGCTATATTGAAAAGTGGCACTGAAAAAGAAGCTCCCAGACATGTGAAAGATTGTGAACGTATTAAGTTTTGCAGACTGAACATATGGGTGTGACTTGAACACTGACCCCATCCAACGTCCTATTTTGTTATACAGTATGAATATATATATATATTCTATTGATTTGACATCAAACTGCACGTGAAACTTTGTCTCCCCCAAATCATTTGTACGCTGCACGCTTGTATTAGAAGTACAGGATACACAGCACCAAGACTAACCAGCCCCTCAATCACATAGGGTCTACGAGGGTTAAACAAAAATGCACGGTGTCCATCCAGGACGACGGCATGGGTCGTCCCATGTGTTTGGAAAAGCCGTCAGGACGACGCTCGAGCTCCTTCGACACGAGGAGAAGCGGTAGCTGCAGCTGCTCGGGGAGGGTGGTGGGCCAAGGCCAAGGGGGAGTATGGCAGACACATAATCACTGGTCCAAGGACATACTGGTCTGGGCACGGGTCAACAGCACACTTTTCAAAGTATATATATATATACACAATTATATACATCCTTTTTATCCGGGGGGTCCATTCTCAATTCTCTTCTTCTACAATCTTTTACTCGGTAGAGTACCATGACCCACGTCAGGGTTTTGTTGTTTCATTGCAGACTCACCAGTTGTGGGGAGGCAAAGCCCCTGTCAGAAAGCGCGAAAGGATGTGAGCGAGCCATCTTTTTCGGCGCAGCTCCTAATAGCGATGGCTCCAACCTTCTAAAGTGAAAGTGGAAGAACACCAAACACATGCCCCAATGCCCCAGCCTTGCCATTCCCTTTTGGAGGCTTCGTCTCTGGCTGTTGGATAGAAAATCCATCCGACCCCAGGAGCGAACTGACCTGCTTCTAGACGCGGCTTGCGGGCCCAGTCGTATGCGAAATCGTGGAAGTCCTGTTGAGACTGACATAGTGCTATTTTTGTGGCCATGGAGAGGAAGTCATAGAACAAGTCTATGATAAGAACCTGTGAGTGCAACAATCTTTCCGCATCCTCGGTTGAATCTGCATCATGACCACCTCATCCAAGCCCCGGATCCTGTGGATGGTGCTTTATACAGCTCGGAGCAAACATGGGATTTAATTGTTGCTCAAATAGGGGGCCATCCAAACACAGATAAAAGACATTTTGGCCTTTTCGCGACTTGAAGGGAGACCCCGCTGCCACAGGCAAATACACTTGAGCAACACCTGTGAGTCCATGAGTCTCATATTTGAGTCACATCCAGCCTTGATATTTCACGGACCCGATAAACAAAATCTGAGCTGCCACCAGACATGAGTATGGTTGAAACGAGTTAACCCTAAGCCATTGTAGGGAACGTCCCCAAGACCTTTTCTGTTCGATCGCGATTCATAGAAGAGGAAGAGCTCCGGTTGTTGACTCTTCACTACAACAGAAACTGCACAGAGAGCTTTGGAGATTTTTTTGCAAGCTGAATGTGAGTTTCTGGAGTATGCCCTACCAAAACTCCACAAGGCCTTCCAGCAACAAGTGGGCCAGGCCAGCGAGGCCATGCGAAAAGCCATGACCAACAAGCAGGCACCAGCTCCATGCCGTGGGCAGATGGCAACAGCTTTGACATGGAAGTGACATCCACGTCCCCAGCAAATCTGGTCATTTGGACATATTGAAAAATCTTTAGGACTGGTAGTGACGGTAGCTGGTGCAGTTGAAAGGGGCAAGCCTGCAAGCAAACAACAACAACAACAGCAGCAGCAGCAACAACAACAACTCGATGCTAGAAATTTGTTTTTAGGTGGGCGGAAAAGGGACAGCTGGATTTTATATAATCTATATATATACATCTATATTATCGTGTTATTCTGAAGTACAACGAACAGATTTAATGGTTCCCATACACTCACTTTCTAGTAGAAATTCGCAGAGGTCTATGCCTTACAGGGTCCCTTATTTCCCCAAACCTTACCTGGCACAGCTTTCATGTTTGTTTGACAGAGATTTTTGACATGACAGTCCAAAAGCTGGTCGAAGCTGGTCAGACCATTTCCAGGCTTGTGACTCCAAGCCAAGGTTTCGCAAAACAACACCTTGGTTTGGAGCCATTGAAAACACCATCGTGTTTTTAGAAGCCGTTGGACATCGGGAAACAATCGCTTTGCGGGTGATGAACGGGAAAAAAGATCCAGGTCTCCTTCCGGATCTCCAAAGGAGAATGAGTGTGGTTATTGCGCTTTGGCACCTTAAAGCATCTGAATCCTACAAATCAAAGGCTAAGTATTTGCAAGTCAGTCCAGCAGGTCAGAGAAGCTGAAGCTTGATATTTGCTGAGCGGAGGACAATGGCTCCCACACAAGGGAGTCTTTTGCTTGGCTTGCTTGGCCCAGTTGCTAAGGCGCATGACTATCAGCACCATCATCATCAACAACATCATCATCACCATCACCATCACCGTTCCCATCACCATCATCATCGTCATCGTCATCGTCATCGTCATCATCATCACCATCATCATCACCATCATCATCATCATCATCATCATCATCATCATCATTCAGCATCAGCATGAGAATCACCGAACAGGAAGTGCAGGGATGTTTCCTAATCTATCCTGATTGCGGGGGCCACCCAGTGCAGGGGTGGAATCTCCCATGGTGGTGGAAGAAGCCATGGTGATTGGGCAGCAGAGCATCTCGAGCTGGAGTGGCGAGGCGTCGTATGACTTGGAGGACGATTTGCATTCCAAGGTGAGTTGGGAGTGAGTTGGTTGTGTGGGGTGTTGGTGAAAGCAGTTCATCAACATAATGCTAGGCTTCTTCGAAGGTGTCCGTCAGTCATCCCCCTTTATCCCGCTGTTCCTGTTGCGCTTCGGAGGTTTTTAGGTTGGAGGCTGTTCCAAGGCGCAGGCGGATCGAGCGGTGTTTGGTTCCGTCATGTCACCAGGTTGCGAATTACGTGGCAAAAATGGACGTCGAGCCTGAAGCCTTGAGAGTTACCTTTGCATACAAAGCCCTTCAAGGCTGCGCACAAGCACTCAGGTTACCAGCTTCCTCTGTTTACCTGCATAGGGAGAGCTTTCGGAGTGAAAAAGTATCTTGCTTTTGGTCGCATTCGTGGCACGGTGGACCCTGGATGAAAATCCTATCACTCATGACTCGCTACAATGGTTTACCAGCAGTTCTTTTGGGTTTCTTCACTGCTGTTCTTGCAACTGGGCTCTTCAGTTATGGCTTCCTGCCGGGCATAAGTGGCTTTCCTTCAGACCCTGGCTTGAAGTGGTCAGCCTGGTCACTGGGAAGTGGCTTCGCAGTAGCGCTGATTACATTTTTCCTTTGGCGGCCACAGCAGCTGGTGTTCCTTGATGGAATTTGCGTCAATCAGCATGACCATCAGCAAAAGGCAGCAAGCATATTTAGTTTGGCAGGGATCTTGAAAAGGTCGGATCAAATGCTCGTTTTGTGGGATTCCACCTGGAGCGATCGCTTGTGGTGTGTCTTCGAGCTGTCAGCCTTTCTGAAAAGCAAACAGGCGAGTGAACGAGTGTTGGTTATCAGCCCCACGTTTCTGGGGCCATGTTCAATCATACTCTTTATCAGTGTGTTTATTATGATGTTGCCTGTGATCATTGTCCCGATGCTGGGTCTCTATTCTGCTTCGGGGCAGTCCGTTTTCCTCATCCCTACCTGCAGTGCCGTTCTCTTCATCTTCGTCACTGGCTATTTCGTTGTTGTGGCCCTCCGCAGGTATTTCCGCTCGGTAGAGACATTGAAGGAAAAGCTGCGCAACATCAACTTCGATAATACCAGATGCGCGTGTTGCGATCAAGGCCATCTTTGTGAGGGAGCCCCAATGTTGTGCGATAGAAGAATTGTCAAGAAATGTGTCTCAATTTGGTTTGGCAGTCCAGAGGCCTTTGAAGACTACGTCCGATCTGAAGTTTTCCAGGCACTAGTGCAGGAGTTGCAAGAGAATGTCTTCACCCGAACCTGGAACCTTTCTGTATCCATTCCAATTCTTTGGGCCTTCCTGGACTTTGGAGCGTCTTGGGCATTGGGAGAGCGTGAAGAAGCAGCCATTGGTGCGTGGATTGAGGGCATTGTGCTATGGTTCTGGTGTGCCCCGATCTTCATAGATTATTGCACCTTCTTTGCGCGCAAGTACTGCAAGTGCGGAACTAGCAAGTTCCGGGAGGTGTTGCAGAACCTAAAAGTACTGCTGATAGGATCTGTCTTCTTTGCTGTGATCCTTACAAGCTACATCCTTCTGACCGCAGGAGGTCTCAGGGCTACGGGAGTCTTTGCAGGAGTGTGGTCCACCCTGGGCCTTTGCCATGTTCTGTACGACGCTTTTAAGGCTTGGTAGGTGAAACTGGAGCAGAGCTGCTCGCGAAAGCGGAGAAAGGTGAAATCGGCAGTCCATGAAAAGTCGTTTCCAGATGGGAGGAACACCACTAAATCAACTAATTATCATTAAGTCACTTCCAGGTTTGCCGAGCACCTCGCCCACCTCGCCCTTGTCAGGTTCAGTCAGCCTTAAAGGAGACGGTCATCGATGCGTTGCGGGATGAGAACCTGCAAAAGGACCGTCCAACTGACATGAGTTGGAAGAAGATGTGGGTAAGGCACTTGTTACTAGTAGCGATGCACTTGTTACTAGTAGCTTCTTGTTACTACTAGTAAGGCACTTGTTACTACTAGCGATGCACTTGTTACTAGGGGCAAAGGGATTGAATATACATGATATACCGCTTGAGGAGGAACATGTTTTTCTTATTACTGGTTCTTACAATATGTGGATCAGCCGTGGTCGAATTAGGAAGTCCATTTCGCGGGGCCGCTTTGGGACCGTCAAGTATCACCTGGACCTGATTTTAGGTTTACATTAAAAGAGGGAGGACATTCGGCCGCGTTGAGGTGACACAGGTGTCTTGCAGGATTCTAAGGGGATAGGGTTTTCATTTTGGAACCTTCAAGAAGAACCTTTGCCCTGGTGGTGTATAGAACTCTGTTGAATACCAATAATCCCAAACAAAGCCTTCATATTACTGGAATGGTTCCCCCGCAAGAAAACCTACAAACAATCGACCAACATGTACTTTTGTAATCGTTCCAGTTCATTGGGAGGTTAGATTATTGGGATCTATTTGGGAGACTACCAAAACCATCCTATCTGGACCTCTCCTCCAACAAGACACTACCATTAGTGAAGACTATGCCAGTGACTATGCATTGCTCTTCCCCTGCGGGAAAAAGGAAAGAGCATGGATTGGTTGGCCTCTAATGTAGGCCTGTTCGTTTTTTGATTTGGGCAATGCATAGGTCATAGGTTACCGGTTTTTTCGATGTTAGCATGATGGTGAATGCAGCTTGTTTGTTGTTCCAGATTGATGCGCAGACTGTTTACACAGATTTCTTCAGAATGCACAGGTGTAAAGGAATGGGAACAGATGGCAGATAAACAGATCAATGCTCGCATATTTGTTTGCATTGGCCTTCTTGATGAACCTGTTCTAGTTTTGCAGTTTTGCATGCCTCGTCCTCCTCCTGTTACTAATTTTCTGAAGATTGCTTTGTCCTGCTGTTCTTGTCTGTTTGTGGCTTCAAGCCTTATCTAGGACATATAGTCCTAGTATTTACTTGTTATCTAGACTGATCAACTTCCTGTCGCTTGCTCCACTTCTTATTTATTTTCTTTGCCCGTTTCATGACTATGTGTTTTTCTTTCTCATTGAGCTGTGCCAGTGTCAAATCAATTTGCATCACTCTCATGTGTTCTTCTTTTTGATTGTTCGTGTCTTCACAAGTTTTCCTTGTTCTTAACGGGGCTTTCTCTCGGTCTAATGACTTTCAGTTTTCTAGAGTAGCTCTCTGTAAGATCTTACTGTTCTCAATTTGCATTCCTCTTCCGCCAGTAGCTTTTCGGTCTTTGTTCAGCTCTTTATGTTGTTATATATATACACACATGCAATGGTCATTCTCCTTCTTGATGAACTGATGCACAAATCTTCTTGCTGAACAACTCAGGAGCCAAAGGTAATAACTTGGCTCCCCAATACGAGCTTCACTTGTCGACCAAATGATGTGTTTTAGTTCCTAAGTGCAGAGTTCTTTGAACACACAATCATATGACTTATCTCAGAGAAGGCTTGATGAATTCCCAAGTACTATTCAAGGTCAGCTCTTCCACTTTTGTCAGCTCTTGTTGTAATGATACATCTGATTTGCTCTTCCCCTCTCTCCTCAATAAGCTCTTCCAAGTCTCAAGAGGCGTGCCTCTAGCTCAATTGTTCAAATACATACGGTTGCTTCTTGCTTAGCTCTGTCACTTGGGACTTGTTATATTAACAACATTAGAGTACCTGGAGAGTCAAAAGAAGGAACCATCAATCAATGATAGATGGACTTAGAGCAGGTGCAAGAGGATTGATTGGCCCATACCACATCCTGTCAGACATAGTCAGTTGTCCTCATTTGCTCGCATTTCTTCCCCTATTCATCAGTCTGTTCTACTGGTCGTCAGTTCCTTGTGTTTGTCTTCAGCTCACCTCCTGTTAATCGCTGGAGGCCGAAATCAAGGATTCTCATCAAAGTTTTGTGTTTTTGCTTGCAGAGAATTCCCCGAACATACCTGGCCCTTCCTGGCGATCCTTTATGTGTAGCTCCACAGGAGCTCGTCTCGACACTGACCAAGGCGTGACGGGTCTCGCCTAAGCGGCCAGAAATACAAAAATCGCTACAGGTTAGAAGTCTCGACTTTGAGATCCATGTGTTGATGATTGAAGATGTGTTTTCTGGGACAAGCAACCCTTTTGTATGGAGAATGCCCACATGAGTCCCAAGCTGTTGGCGAAGTGCGGGAAGCTCCCAAGTGGAAGCAATCCAATTGCTGAAAGAAAAGATTCCAACTGTCCTGGGCTCCGCATGAAACGCTTCGGAGGCCGCGATCTTGTCCTCGGGCGATCACTTGTTGCGAGCCCATTTGCCACTGGACAGAAGATTGTCATTTGTCATTATCCATCTAGATCATCTATAGGTCAAATTTGTACTTGGTCCAATATTGTATCTCATGCGTATCAGAGTGGACTACCGGGACTACCGTACAGCCTACTTCTCACGAAAGAGGGGACTGTTCTGACCAAGAAACACTTGATTCTCATTCTTTCGGATTTTTCCTCTTTGGGAACGCCAGAATCGGTCAAATCGCTCTAATCGCTCTTTTCTTTTTGCTTTTGGTGGCTGAAAAACGCACCGGTCACCTGGCTGGAGGCTGGACGTTGGCAAGGCTTCATCGCCGGTGTTTTGCATCGACACATTCAGCAGCTTTAGAGGTTTGGAAGGTCAGATGTGGTTCTAGTTTCTATTTTTGTGTATTTAAATGTCTTTTTGGTTCCGATAAAACCAAGTGGTTCCAAATGATTGGAAAGCTTCAGAGCTAGAATGCTTCAGCCTTGGGGTCGGTAGATGGTAAGTGGGATTCACTGGCAAGGTTGAGTAGATTTGGGTGAAGGCTTCGAACCAAGGGAGTAGCCGGGTCTCAAACAACAAAAACTCTGTACTTTAACCTGATTTTGCTACGCAAAGTGACTTTATCCTGCCCGGATATGGACAGGATTTTGCGCATTGTGAAGGTGCCAGCGAGAGTTCACTCAACACCCAAGCTTTATGCTACATGAAGCACAAGGATGAAGATGATATAGTGGCAATCTTACAACTTGTCCACAGATCAATGAACCCAAGATTGTGCCTGCTGCCATCATCAACACACACCTCTTTGCACAACTTCGCATCCTTGGAACTTGGTAGGGCAGAAAGTCACAAGGTCTGCAGCGATCGAGTGCACATACCTGCACCATGTGTTCTTTCCCATCAGCTATGACAATGGTACGTATCCCCTACGAATGATACACGTTCTCCTGCACCACCTCAGAATGCCCATAGGGATACCATGATCGACTACAAATACTGTTTCTAGGTGGTGCAGGATTTCGTCGATCATTCGCATACATTCTCCTGCATCTCTCCAAGGAAATGAACCATGTCCGTCTTCTCCGCGCCAGGATGCCATCGTGCGCGCTTTGAAGGATCAGAGCTTTACCGCCGAGATGGTGCCTTTGTGCAGACAAATCAGCACCGCATTCGAAGAAAGGACGGTGTCGTCTTTTGGGCTAGATATGGTGGTGAATATACAGCTCTGGTGTGAGATTTATTGTGAACGGATCTGCTCGGGTGGGCTTGCTTTTGAAGCACGCAGACGGACTAGTACAACTTGTCCTTGCAGATCAGAGAGCAACTTTGGCGTTCCTTATCCGTAGAGGTCATTTATTTAGTATTTAACGCATTTGTGAAGAGGGAACCATCCCTCATCCATCCACCTCGAATCCCGAAAAAAACGGGCTCTCACCAGCTCAGCTGGTGAAATCTTCAATCAGCAAAACATGCATCCAGTTTTGAATTCAGGGGGCTTGGCGCTTTTCAGATGGTGATGTCATTTTCGGTTGAGCGATATTGCCCAGCTATGCCAACACACATCTAACTTCCATATGACAGCTCTTCCCAGCGACCCCCGCACCGTTTGATGAATCTAGCTCGTATCCTATATGCCAATTAGCAAGCCGGATCATTGGCCTTTCGTTATTTGGACGCTCCCACAAACTTGGGGATGTCACAGCAGTTGAAGTCGATCTAACCACCAAACCAAGCGCCCAAGGTTGATCAAGTTTAAAGAGCGCAAAACCATGCAACACCCAGGCTAGCTAGACATGTTCAACACAAGCTGTTGACCATGGGTTCCAAGATGTTTGATCCAGCCTTATGCATCCGGTTGTTCTCAATACATTTGGAGTAAGAGGGTCATCCAGGGAATCGTGGCCCTTGCCAGAGCAGTGCTCAGGTCTCTATGATCTCCAAAGCAGTGCTGGCAGCCTCCCAGAACAGCGAGCTCAGGGCCGGGCCGGCCCAGCTCGTGAGCCACTGTGTCATCTGAGGTCCAATGTAGAGACATTGGAGGTGTTGATAGATAGGAACAGCGTGTGTACATCCTGCAAGGCAATGGCCATCTTAGTATATCCTGGTATGCAATCATGATTATCAATGGTAAAACCATGCAAACAACTGAACCAGGTTTTTCATGTCCTCGCAACCGAAACAGATCACTCTAAAAAGTTGGCTTTCAAGAACCGCGATACCATTTTGCCACAGCTTTGTATCCAAGAGGCACACCAAATTATATAATAAATGATTCAACAGGACAGTGAGAAAGATCCTTGAGCAGATTTGAGGAGCAGGTTTTGCAGGGCAACTTGTACGGAAGATTTTGAGTGTACAAAATGTTCTTTGCTAGGCCTTGCAAATGGAACATGACCGCGACAAAAAGCTACTAGTCTATGCTAGTCTCAACTTTCAAAGTGTGTCAGAAGGATGGTGACTGATGTTTCGAACATAGCCTTTGGCCACGCGAGTTCCACCAACAGAGGGAGGGAAGGAGGGAGAGAAAGAGAGAGAGAGGGAGAGACCCCGCCCCCCAACACACACACACACCCACACACCCACACCCACACACACACAAAAATGCAAGAGTTCGCAAAATGGAGACTCTTGTTCAAAAGGCTTCAGATTCTCATAGACCAAGGAGACCTATTGATCAACTTGTCCTTGCATTATGTAAGGCTCGATTCCTTGACAGAAAACCTCATCCTCCAGAGGACGCAACTTTGGACGTTGTGAAGGCGGCCGTGACGGATGCCTTGAAGGCGCACGATTCCCTGGCGGATCGTCCCCAGCCGGCCAAGTGCGTGGCTCGTGAAGGGGGTCAATTCACTGGAGATGAGAGGAATCGTGGGTTGAATGACCAAAATGGCCACCTTGAAGGAATGGATGGTTTGGAGGATTCTCATTTTCCGTGGATCCAAAAGGCTGACTTCATGGACCTTCATGGCACCACCTTGGCATCTCACCCACCCATCCACCAAGACCTGGGGGGATCATTCGTGCTTCGCGAGGATGAGGGCTTTATGGAGGAGATGCTGAGCACCCTGACGCGTGCAACCATTGTGGCTTCCAAGGAACCGGTCGGCGGGTGATAGCCAGGCTGAATCTCAGATAATGTATACATGTTTATATAATCTCAAAAAGGTGTATATATATAATGTACGGTTAAAAAAAAGGTAAACAAATATAAATTATATATCATCAGAAAAGATCAAGCGACCAAAGCGACACATGACAAGGTGGAACAGAGTGGTCTCACGACAATCTATGTATCATTCAACCCTGTGTTCAGGGTTTCAAACTAGTGTCCTTGATCCCACTTGGATCCACTTGGTAGGTTTAATTTACCCTTTGAAATGATTCCCTCATGCCCTTCAGCTGTTCGCCAAGTGTCAGGATCAAGAGCTCCGGGACACCCTCTTGGGGGTGACCAAGGAGGTGGGGTTGAGCTGAATTGCTCCTGTTTAGATTTCACGCGGTTCTTGGTTCCAGAGAACACTTGGATCAGGTCTCTTGGTGTGCTCAGTCTGAGGCGATTATATACGGAACAGAGAAGTACACCTTTGAGATATTGTAAGACCCCGAAAAAATATTCTTAGATGCTCCATCACATGTATTGCACAGTTGTCCCTCTCTCACACCTGCGTCGCACATATTCACCTTCGTCGTCATTTCCGTGTTTTGGTCTCACATTGAGATCTCCAACTGATCCACGTCTGTTTTGAAGGGATGTTGCCCGCTTCAGATGCCATGGCCTCGCAAGAAAAGTTGGTGCAATGTTAGTGTGCTCAACTGCTCGTGAGAAAAAACACAACCGAGCCTTACCAACCTGCTTGTTTGGCTTGTGGGCAAGATCGAGCAATATGATTTTACCCACGGGGCACGGAAAACGCTTTTGCTGAGTCTCCACGTTCGTGCCTTGTTGCGAGAGCGCATGATGTCGTTTCATGGCGGGCTGCTCCGGGTGAGCAGATAGTTCGTTTGATTCATGTTGGAGCGGACGCTTTGTGCAGGTTTCAGGTCGTTGTGGTGCTACATCCCGTGGTTTTGTGGTGCTACATATGAACAAATAGAGTAAATAGAGGATAATAGAGGACCATGTGCTACGAAAGGCACTGTAGAAACATTTTTTCACCTCCGCGCCCACAGCTCTGCAGGCTGTAGTCGATGCCTTGAGAGACGAAGGCTTCATGAATGCCTTCCAGAAGGCAATGTGCCAAGGCTTGAAGGAGCGGCGCACGGGTGGTGCCTTTGGCCTTTGGCCTTTGATACATCAGCAGTGTATATCGTGCTTTGAATCTTTTGTTTGTCTTTGTGGTCGTGTTTGTTTTTCCTCAGGTCGGGAAGACGATTGGAGTTTTTGGGTGGACCTGACTCATCAAGAGTAGGATCCAAGTGTAGCTCTATTGCAGGATGGGGAGGGACCCACGGCACTTGTAAGGAGGCTGATGCTTTTTCATCTTCCTGACAGTATTGGTTTTTGTGGAGGAAGACTTTCAGTTGAACGAGCAACGAACTATTCACTCGCTGCATTCAAGAGTGCAGCTTCTTCCAAAGATTTGCCCTTTCTAACACAGCTCATGACCACACCATACCATAGTTGCTACAGACTTGTCACGTGGATGCTTCATGATGCCTACACGACCTTTTCCTGAAATCTTCGCAAGGTCACCAGGCTAGATGAGAACCTCCCTTGCTGGTCTGGCCCATGACGTTCCTCTGTCAGGACAGCAACATCTACCGATCGGCAGCCAAGGGGGTGGTAAAGTCCCTGAACCCCTTCGCGGGTGGAGTGGACTGAGCCAAAGTGCAGACCCCACAGCTGGTCAATGGTCCGAAGCGACCACGATGTCCTCTGCTCACAGCGCAACAAAAAGATGCAGGTGCGTAGCGAACTGGACTCCTTCCAAGCCAGCTATGGACCTGAAGCGCCCAGAGTCAGTAAGTAGTGGAACATCTGGACAGAGTTTCGGCCAGGACGGTGACACGGTGGGGAGAGATGTTAAGCCAGATGTTAATCTACACGCCGGACATTTGAACGCAGGTGTCGTCGCGGAACCAGGTTCAAGAAAGCTCGAGCCGCGAGCCCTTCAACATTCAGAAGATATTCAACACAGGTGGGATGCGTTTCACATCTGTAATATATTGTAATATTATGAACATACCGACAGAGGGTGATGACCTCTTAGGTGATCAACCATGCTGAAAGCACTTCTTACTACTTCAGACTAAGCATCTTCTCACCAACGATCCATGCGGTTCCGCTGCTTTCGCTGCCTGCTACATGGCGCAAATCTGGCGTGCCGGCTTCGTCGTGGACGGGCAAGAGGTGGAGCTGGTTATCGTGGATGCGGATAAGCTCGAGCAAACAAAGGCCAGTCAGCTGCCATCGTTGGCACAGCAAGTGTTGGAAATGCCGAACTGCTATGAGTGTGAGAAGGAGTGGCGAAACGATGTTATTTAATGAGCAATTTTATATTTTGCGGCTCTGCTCCGTTTTTTGTTTTGTTGATTTTGCAAGATTTTCCTTGCTTGGAGCAGAGAAGGAGTGGCCGTTTGAGCATGTGCTTGGCTTGGGCAATTTGTTGAAGGAAGTCGGGGAGGGCTGGTCTCCAGGGTTGGCCACATATCTCACTTGGTCGTCTCCTGCTGGGGAGCTACATGCCTTGGGGCTGGGAAGTGTCTGGGTGGCCAGCGCAGAACTTGTTCCCCACATTGACGTGTGGAGTTTTTGTTTTTGTTTTTAGTGTTGTATCCGCCCGGTCGTCCTCCTCTCCTCCCTCTCCTCCTCCTCCTCCCGTCCTCCTCCCACCAACAACAAACCAACCAACCGACCAACCGACCAACCCACCGACCAACCGACCCACCCACCCACCCACCAACCAACCACCACCGTCCCTGGGTCGCCGCCGCTCTGCTGGTGTGATTTGCGTGGCAGGCGCAGTACTTGGTGCTCTCCAAGGGGTCGGATGTACGTCCCTGGGTCGCCGCCGCTCTCGGTGTGATTTGCGTCGCGGTACTTTGTGCTCTCCAAGGGGTTGGATGTACGCCTTCAGCCAACAGCTCTTTCCCAAACCTCTAGTTGTCGAAGCCGCTGGCGCCCTCGAAGCCGCTGGCGCCCACCGGACGGCTGCCAGAGTCCAAGCGCCGATGCAGGCCCATGTCACACAGCCACCCAGCACCGACTCTCGAAGCCAGGTTCTCTGCCAACTGATGTTCAGCCACTAGCAGTTTGCACATGCATGGCACCAGCATTCTGGGCTTGCTCTCCTGCAGTTCTGTATCTTTCACACTGTCCACATGGTAAAGCAGAAGGGTTCAGCTGACACCTAACCACCAACCAACCACCACCATTGGGGTGACCATCAACCACCAACCACCAATTGTCCACTCCTGTGTCTGGTGAAGTTGTTAACTTTTTTTGCTGTATATATATATATACAGTACTTTTAGTGGAACGTTTGATCTCTTTGCCCTTTCCCTGTCGGCCTAATCACCTTCCGAAGTAGTTGGATCACGGGCAATGACAGTGTGTGCCTATGATGACCTTATTGCGTTTAGAAGGGCATGGCCCATGGCTCACGGGATCTTTAACTTCTTGTTCCCAGAATGGGTTTGGTCTGGTTACGTTATTTTTATATTATATGATTATATATAAGTTGTTGTTGCCGCATCTCCATTTTGTGGAGCGTCCAGAGTCCATGAAGATGCAGATTGTAAATATGCAATGATGCTATGTTCATTGTTTGGTCTCCTTCATGTTCTCTTAGCTCTATATATATATATACACGACTAATTACGATTATGATATAGAATCATATACATGTTCTCACTTGAGGCTGCACTGTACCCAGCGAACCAAACTATGTAGTCAAGTGATTGCAGATGTGGCCCCTACTTGTAAAACAATGTTTTTATTGTCGGATTCTTCAACTTCAATCTGAAGTGCCACATGCCCTCCGAGGCAACAAGAAACGACGCAAGATTGCAGCCCTTTTGGCCTTGACCCTTTGCCGTCTCTGTGGAAGTCATTGGCCAGCTCCTCCTGAGCTTCGTGATGAGTTGTACCAGGCCACCGCTGCAACAGTGCTGCGTCCGCCGCTGCGCCCTGGCGTGGCCGTATCGGCCTCCATACCGGTTGCGGGGCAGCAGGAGCACGACTGGCCAGACTGGCAAGACTGGCGCCGGTCACGAAGAGAAGACTGGTTGCCACTGTCAGGCTCATGGGTTTGGTGGAGCAGTGACATTTTAGTGGTTCTCTGTGAGGATGTGTCCGCCCAGATTTTCGCGGATGCCAGGACATGGTTTTACGAAGTCGCGGAGGTGCAGCAAGAACCGGAGGAACAAAGAGCCCCACGCGAATTGAACCAACGCACCCAGCAGATATTTCCAGATATTTTCTTCACCAGCCTGTTCAGACACCAAACCCACGCGGTGGTTGGTGTAGGCCGGGATCTCGAACATCGCAAGAGAGCAGGATGTTTGGGATTGGCGGCGCGGATATCCAGAGGCAGCCTATGTTTGACACGCGTGCAAGGTCAGGTTGTGGATGAAGTGTTCCAAAGCCCATGGCTTCCACAAGAACCCATCCAACGCTTTTTTGATTTGGAGAACCACGGCTTTTGGCAAAACATCGAGATTTGGCAGGAGTCTGAAGAACACAAAGTTGCACCGCTCACAAAAAAGAATCTATCTGATATTCGCATGAACTGCCAGCCGGCATTGTTGAGGACACTGGAGGAGTGCCGGTTGACTCGGATGTGTTGGAGCAAACGATGTCTTCAGTTTCTAGTCTGTCCCAGACCATCCATCCATGTATGGAATGGATGCAGCAATTTACATCTACCCCGTTTATGTCCCCGTGTAATTCTTCATAGATTGACTTGATCTTCACAAGGTTAGTTAGTTGTGTTCAAGAGTTTGTCGCCCTCACAGGACAAGGGAAACATGGAGATTGACTTGACACACTCTCGCCGCCCATGGCTGGGGATTCTTAAGGCACATCAGGAGCTAAAATGGATCACTGGATCGGACATCAATCGCTTCATCGTTGCAGTCGACCGAGAAAAACTGGATCCCTACCAGGAGGTTCCCATGATCTACTTTGAAGTGCGCACGGCGGATGGACACCGACACCGCTTCCGGGACTTGGACCGCACCGAAGAGACCATGTTTCGGCAGCCGGAAAAGAAGGATATCACGTTGGCCTTTCGGCTGGCAGGTGGCTGGGAGGTGCGGAGGGGCATTTTCAAGGTTGACGTCTTTTTTCTTGATTGACTGTAGACATTTCAATGGATACTGTAATACAGACGTGCTTTGATTTGTCCGCGCCAGGTGCAAGGCCGCTGGACTGCGTTTGAAGAGACTTGGACCCCAAACAGTGTCAGCAATTCAGCAATAATATTTTTGAGCGTCAACTCGGTGAATTCTCATGTTGGTGGAAACGTTTGCAATTGTCCAGCTGTTTGGGAACTGCGCGTAAACGAAAACGATTGACAACAGCAGTTCCTGATGCCTAGTCACATGTGAAAAACCAGGGATATATATGTATATGTATATACGTATATATTTTTCGTATATAGATGTCATGAGAAAATCCGAGGATGATACCAAATTTGAAACACTGTGCATCACTGTTGCATTCATAGCCACACGAAAACATACCTGGGCAAGGCGGTGGAGAAAGAAAAAGCGCGCAAGGGCAACAGGACAACGCCCGGACACAAGGTTTAAGGGCGCGGCCAGAGACTGTGGCCAGTGTTTTTCCCCAAACAGTTTACTGTTGGGGTTCTATCTTAGAAAAAAGCGCTGGCCACACTCACACTGAACTCTGTGGCTGGGCTCTGTGTCCAGGCCTTGTCCTCCTCTTGTCCTCTGTGGCTGGGCCCTGTGTCCAGGCCTTGTCCTCCTCTTGTCCTCTGTGGCTGGGCTCTGTGGCTGGGCCTTGTCTTGTCCTCCTCTTGTCCTTGTCTTGGCCGCGCCCCTGAACTCTGTGGCTCGTCTGTGTGGCCCGGTTTACTGGAGAGGAGTGTGGCCGAACAAGTAGCGATGTCAATGCCGACAAAAATTCATTGATGAAGCAGTTTGCTGTTGGGGTGAAGGTAGGGCGCACCAAGAAAGCATTTTGTGACTAATATTGGTCTAAACGAATTGTTTTGAAGCTGTTTGGGGTCTATGCTGGTATAGTTTTCGTAAGAGAACCGCAACAGTAAACTGTTTGGGGGGTAAACAAAAATTGGACTACAAAAATCAAGAGAAGGGAGGACACCAAGAAGACAAGAGAAAGAAACCAGGAGGACAAGAGGCAGCAGCACAAGGACAAGAGAAGGAAACCAGGCGGACAAGAAGAGGACACCAGGAGCACAAATGGAGGACACCAAAAGGATAAGAAAAGGAAACGAGGAGGACAAGAGGATGACAAGAGAAGGACACCAGGAGGACAAAAGGAAGACAACAGCGCGGCCAGAGGACAACAGCAGAACAACTGCCAGGAGGACAAGAAGAGGCCACCACGAGGGACGCGACGAGAACAAGAGGAGGACAAGACGACGACACCAGGAGGACAATAAGAGGACAAGAAGAGGACAAGACCCGGACACAGGGTTGAGGGGCACGGCCAGAGACTGTGAGAGAACCCCAACTGTAGACTGTTTGGGGAAAAATATATAGAGGAATATCATATAACACGTTTTGATCCTTCCATAAAGATCACCAATTTTACTAATATTTTCCTCGTCCCAAGGCCAAAAGCGCCTGACAGCTGCTAAGTAACAAAAATGGGCAGATATGTTGTTGAGGCACTTTGGCAAGCTGAGGTAAATGTCTTCCAGAACCTCATTGAGAACTTCAGGGAAAAGGAGCGGCCTGATGGATGGCATGAAGACGATTTTCTGATGCCCCTTCCGACAAAATCTTCTATTTTTGTCGGGGCCTTGGTGCATAGGACCTAGGAGCCCACTGACTTGCAACCCTTGGAACGTGTTGATATTTGCACAAGGAGGTTGCCCGTGTCCATGTCACCACACCTTCGTTATCTTGGAGTGCATATGCTGGCGTGAAAACGGGCCCCGAAACAAATAGGTTTCACTGATCATTGGAACCTGTCAACATCCATGCCGCAAATCAAGGTCGCGGCAACCACTAACCCGATCCCAGCCCACACATGTCCACACAAGACGTCTCGAAAATCAATGTGTGTCAATGTCAAAATACAAAATCATCTATGTACTTGGTCCACAGAAAAAGGGTTCACGCCAGACAATAACAGGATCTCAAGCACTCCACGCCCTTTTGTGTGGGTTCCCTGACACCGCATATAATCGAAACACCGGCACCAAAATGCAAAAACAGGTGCAGTGTCAAGCACCATCATCCTGTATGCCACGAGACCATGACATCAAAACCGTGCTCGTAACCCTGACAACGCACGTTAACTCCTCCTCACCCCCCACAATCTGTTTCTGCGTGTGCATCACGCTGGTAGGCGCAAAGGCAGCGTATTTTTACACAAAACATCGCCGCGCTCCAGCGGAACACGCTTGCAATTTCTGCACCTACCGTTTTGTGTTCAAAAGCGAGACAGTGACTGAACACCGAGAGAACTGAGGCTTGGAAGTTGTCGGAGGAGCTTCGGAAACAATTCAACACCTGGTTGCAGAGCCGCACCCGGTGCCAAGCTGTAGACCAGGTGCGGGCGCGGACGCTGGATGTGGATCTGAAGGCCACCTTCGAGGACACCATGGAAGGTGGGGGATGGGGCGCGCCACGAAGCCACTACCAGTGATTCAGGGCAAGAGATGGAACATGATAGATGTGTATGTGCATTTTTTATGATACAAAATTATTCATTATGCAATTATGTATACAGTAATTTGGAGGGTGATTTTTGCAGCAGTTGTTGTGCGGTTTTAGGGAAACTAAGACGACGTGGTGTCTTGCATGTGTTTTGTGTTTGCCTTCAGTTTTGATATGCGGTCTTGTGCGTTGTTTTGTACGAAAGTCCGGATGTCGTACAAGTGTACGGACTCTTAGTGGCCGAAATACGCCGTAATGTGAATTTGATGCATGTACTGTGCAATAATGCAAAACAGCACACTATTTGATAGCAAGATCCTCTTTGTTTAGTGTAGTGGAATTCTAGTTGCGTCATTGTTATTGTTCCAAATGTCCCAGTTGGCAAAGCTGGGGGTTCAGCCGGGTTCAGCATTTCTCATAAGCATCAGCATCGAATGTTCTGGAAAATTGCATGGAACATCTGAAAGATATATACTAGATGTTATTATAGTAGTCACCATCAATTGTTATTGGAAACAGGTTCTCTCTCATCCTTAACCATCACAGACAGGCACTCCCTGCCAGGTTTCTTGCGGGAATTTGAGGTGAGTGATGAAACTTTCTGTTCCAGTGACGACTTCTACCATGAGACTTCGAGTGCTTGGGCGCCTGAAACAAGAAGAAGTGGAGAGTCAGGCCGTCGAGGAGACCCTTGGATATGCATTAACTTTTTTGAAACTAAGACTCTTGTGCATGTGCACACGGAACAACATGAGGCTATTGTGAACTCATTTTGGTACGTTAATTTTGTAGCTATGTTTTTCTCCCAGCATGTTGGAGCAACTCGAGGGTACGTTCACCCAGAAACAGAAGCTGATGTTGGACATTGCGTTGGCTGAAGGTGTGCGGTCTTCATTGCTCAAACCCTTAGACCCCTCACGGTGTCCAGATGTGGAAAGAAATTTCTTTTGTGACTGGTGCCATGCGAGTGAAGACATCCGCTTCTCCCATGTGGATGTCAGCAGTGAGTTCCTTCACGGGGATGGGCATAGGGGAACCCGCCTTCAGACTTTGGTCCGGGAGCTGGTGGAGGGAACAACGGATTCTGCACAGATCCCAGCACTGGTAGCAGTCCGAGTTCAAGGCATCCGGCATGTTGTGTGCGGCAATCGACGTTTAAAATGCTACAAGATGGCTTGGCAGAGGGGCGCAGACTGCTGGTTCAAGATGATTGTTCATGACTCTTGTCCACCCTTCAAGACATGTTTTAGACAGTCTCTTTTGTTTTGGTTTACTGAACTTGTATATACGTCGTTGCGTATGTGTAGGGCCTGTCCCATTATCAGTAACAGTCAGAAAACTATTATCACTATGATTGAGCAACCCTTTACTAACCATCATCATCTACTGTTACTGGTAGTGGGATGTAGTGGGATAGACACAACGTCGTATGCGATAGATCAGAACTGAACCCCATTATTTATACAACTCACATGTTGGTCCACTTTTGCACTTTCGGATTTGGGGTCCGGCAGGTTGAATCTCAAAGGCTTCACACATGGTTCAGTGATCGGCGCAGCCAAGGAGTTTCCGAGATGCCCCAAAATCCAGGACGAGAAACAGCGACTTGCATTCATCCTAAAGGCCATCCAGGCAATGTCCACTGAGAACCACGGCCAGGATGTTGACATACGTCGCAGGCACTGAAAAAAGGAAGACAAGCAAGAGCGGCGTCGGGTCCCCAAGCAAGCAATGTATATGAATAAATTAAAATCAATGAATATGTTTGAGGACAGGTACATTCGTATGTGAATCTCCGCTGTGGCCACAAATGGCACCTAGGACCTAGGGTGGAAGAAAAGTGGTGGCTCACTTTTTTCAGCTATTGGGGTGCAGAAGTTGCCCAGGCTGGCCATATCGGCGGAGGAACACCAACATATGAGCGTTAGAGGTTCTTTTCAGCCCGGCTCATCCCACAGGCGTTGAACTTGCTCCAATCTTGCAGAGTGTGACGGGCAGCAGGCAAATTCTCCCGGCAATTGTCCAAGTAGACTAACACAAAGTCAACAACGCGGCAACATTCAAGATACTCGATGCGCTGGAGGATATTACTACTGTACAATAGGATCTACTCGGAAAAAGGAATTACTTCCAGCCGCAACAGCTTTTATTCAAAGGTTCCAGATTGAACAAGCCTGTCACTGAAAATGCCTGTCACAAGTGTTGCAGTTGCCGTTGGAACCCGGATGCTATTCTTTGCTGCTTTTCGCACCGAACAAATTTCATCAAGGAGTGAGTGCAGTTGCGTTTTTTTTCTAGGAGCCGTTTCATGGGAATGCCGGAATGCCAGAAAATGTTCAGTACACATCACGAAGGGCCAGCAATCAATAGTGGGGAGCAAGAACCTCCAGGACTTTTCCCTTCAAGCAAGGTTTAAGAGCATACATGACTTTCAATGACGCCTTAGCTGGAAGGCAGTCTTTTGAGCGGCTGCTTTGTGAGCAATCAACGGACACAGCAGAGGGCACTTCAAGGTTAGTGCTTGTGGTTGGTTCTCACGGATTGTCACCACTGAACAAACACCAGGGCCGACGCAAGGTCACTTCAACTTTAATTTGCAATACATACTTGAAGATGAACTGAGACTTTGAAGGGGAGGCGGCTTATCCACACTGACCTCTGAGGGTGAGGGATCAATTCAGCATTGAGTGGATAGAGACTGCGTTTTTGCTTTGTGGACCTCCACTGCAAGAGTCTTATACTCAATCCTGGGTGGGAACCCCTTCACCTGGCCCCAAGCTGAACGCTATGGTCGACACGTCTCCGTCATCCACGGCTAAAGCGATGGCTTCGGCTGGAGAGGAAGGGCCGGCTGCCGCGGAGGCGCAGGTGGCGCACCAGGTGCCCACAGCTGCGCTGGCGGCTGCGCCGGCGGCTGCGCCGGCGGCTGCGCCCGCGGCGACCGAAGGCTACGGCCCTGGTGACGTCAATCCTGAGTTGGTGCTTCAGGCCATTGAGGCGAGGGCGCCGAGATCAGTCACATTATAGATCTCGACTTTTGGTGAGTTTGTTTGGTTTTCATTTTCTGGTACAGTGTTACAGGGGGTTGGGATCCCATATGATATATAACTATAAATATATATATATTAATATATATATATTAATAGTTTATGTATATATATATATTAGTATTGTTTTGCATCCTTGCTCATAGCAAGATGTTTTTCCTTTTTGAACTTATACCCTTCGCAGACCACTTTCATCTACCGGTTTTGCAGCTAGGTCCGGATGTGCCTCACTCTTGGGGGTTAACCCGGGGTCATCTGCCAGCAACTTTGGAGAGATGGGAGGAACTCGCAGCGCCAAAACATTTTTGAAGTCCATGTTGCATAGTCTTCTTATATACCACCATACAACTGTGTATTTGCCACGTATAACGCAACAAATGAATACGACTTTGATCTACCGCTTGCTTGGCCTTCGGAACCCATGAGCCACTCGGAGATGTTGAAGGCGGTTTTCCTGAGGTCAAAACTCCACAAGATCCGGCGATGAATCGACCATTGACCATGGATGACCATACCATGGTCTATGGTCAGCAAACCACCTGAGTGGGCACCCCAAGCAATGAGTCTTACTATCCCCTGTTCCTACTTAGAGTTGTTTTGGGAAGGTTGCTTACATGATGCCATTGTTACACACCTTGTGCAAGAGCAGGAGTATATGCCGCTTCACTTGTAGTGGACAAACAGTTTTGTTAATAATATAGTCAGTTATACATAGTTATGTATATATAGTAAGTTATAACTAGTTATATATATATATATTATATGCCAATGTTGAGGATGTTGGCTTGCTCACGCTTGCCTGGGTTTAGGAGAAAGACCCACAGGGTCGTTGCTCACATCAACTCCGTTACGGACATTTCGGTTTTGTTGAGCATGAACCACTCGGTCGACTGGCGCGATCTGGTTTTCTCATGGTACACCGTGGACGACTTAGACTCCGAATCACTACAGTACCTTGGACCCATGAAATTGGATATGGACACCGAACAAACATCAATTTCCTTTGCAAAGGACTTCCCACTGAATGTCAGGGAGTGGGAGGGAGCGTCCATCACACTCACGGATACAGACTGCGAGACTTCCTTTGTTCCGAGTTCAGCGTGTTCACAGGCCGTCACGCAAGCGCTAGCCGAATCGAAAGAAGCAAAGAAGCTGGAGGCTCCGATGGGGATGCAGAGTTAAGGATTCGGCATTAACGGATACATTGGTTGGGATTCTGAACTGGCACTGGAGCTTTTCTAGGTGTCTCAACCCCTGCAGGATAGCTGTGATATGATGGAATATGAGGGACATAAGTTTGGTTGAATGAGGTGCCTGACTTTACTTTTTTGGCAGGAAATGAGGTGACTCCTATTTTTCGAGCCCCCGCAGTACCCCGCCGCTGTGCGGTAGCTGCAGATATGCCCGAAGAGGCGGAAGAGGTGCGCGAAGATCTCGAGCTGCGGAAGCGCTTGGAGGCCTTCACGGCGGAGAAGGGCGCCGAGACTGTTCGCCAGGAGCATGGGAGGCGAGGGAGTTGCGAGGCTTGTGTTGAGCGGTTTGCTTTGATCTCCAAGTGATTAATTTAAGCAAACAACGTCAACCAAACCCAACTCAAACCAAGAAGAGCAACCAAATCACCCAATCAGTTGGTGTCTGCGAGGAGCTGGGCAATGCCTCCAAGATTCTCCGGCGACTCTCCGAGGCGTTTTGGATCCATCGATGTCTGGGACGGGACGGAGACTTAAGCGACTTAGACGATCTCTTCGCTTGTTCAGTAACAAGTGCATCGCTAGCGACCCTAGCTTCTTGCACCCTAGTAGCGATGCCAGGAGCCCCGAACGTAGCGTCCTTGCTCCTAAGATGCATTCTTGGATCATTAGGACTCAATCCTAGGAAGTATGTCTGTCAAGAGAACTCAGAGTTTGAAGTATTTCTAGACAGAGCTAGCTTCACCATTAGGCACTGTGACGAAACTGATTCTGTGGATCCAAGTTCAGTCCAGGACATCCTCAACGTGAAGCTGCACGCTATGCGACGAGAGGCACTGAGGTTTCCTGGATCTCAAGGCCTTTGCTAGGAGCTAAAGAAAACCTATCATATGCACCAGTTTTCTAAAATCCAGTGATGGGCCACACCGCACTTGGGGCAGTACATTTTGCATCAGTTTGCCACTCAATTACAGGTCCAGAGACTTCCGGACTTGGCTCAACAGTAAATGCTTTAAACATTGGTGAATTATCAATTTCATTGAAGTTTGACCAACCGTTGTGAAACTGTGGACATCTAGGTTGTGGGTTCTTATTTGGCCAGAGCACGCTTCCCCGACAGATTCGTTGTGTACGTTGGTTGCTTTGGTAACTAGGAACGAACCCACATTACAAAATCCTTCCAGTCGTAACAAGTGCCTGACGTTCCTAGCTCAAATTCCTGGAGTTTGAAAGACAGAGCACTACGAATGTTTAAAGGTCTTGATGGTGCTAGAACGATTGGCACATCTCAACACAAAAGGTGCTGACCAAGTGAATTTTGGGTCTTAAAGTTTTGGCTGCTTCAGCTGTTATACCACTCCCTCCCTGCTTTGGTTCTTTCATACCACCCCGACCAACCCTAGGAGCGCGTTGTGTTTAGTTGTTTTGTTTCCAGAACGCGCGCTTCTTCTCCTACTGAACTCAAGGCAGCCATTCATTGCCCATTGTGTGATTGACAGGTGTTAGAGAGGACGGTGGGTGAGAGCTTGTTCTTCACTTTCGAGGAAGCCGGCTTCCAGGATTGGCCGGCAAGGGACGTAACAAGGTGATCCTTTCGATCATGGCCCCAAGAAAAAAGCACAATTATCAAAATAGATATACAGTATATTCAAAAAACAGAATGGCTAGCAAAGCAATAGCGATGGCCTCCAACCTACTAGTGATGGCATCCACCTAATAGCGATGGCCTCCGCCCAATAGCGATGACCTCCACCGAAGGCCTCCAATCTAGAAGAAATGAACTCCAAAGCCAAAGCCTGTTCTATCAGGGACTCACATATGACTCCGAGATATGAATATGACCTTTTGACTCATGTTTTACTCTTTTGTCCAGCAGTAGTACGACTCGACTTCATGGACTCGAAGTCTTTCTAACACATCATTGTTGATTTTGGAGCCTTACCCCTCGGCAAGCATCATTTGTACAACAAATTCTGCTGCTAGAAGTCCCACCTAATCTCGTGTCAACTGATTGGTTGGCACCAGTTGGCCCAAGAAGTCGGTAGGCCTTTCTTTTTGAGGAGATCTTTGTTCCTTGATACAAATGTTTGGCACTGTTCGGCCGGTTGCTCCCATGCGGTGACCACACAATGAACTGAGGCAACTAGGTGGGACGTTCCACTTTCGCTTGAATACCACCTCTGGAGTGAGTCGAATTCTTCAACAAACGACCCGTCTGGCGATTTTTCCATTTTTCAGCATCTCCATGCACCTCCCAAGCACTGAAACACTGCCTCGCGATGCCTCGCTTCCCGTCTCCAACGAGGAGTGCTCCACGGAGACCGGCCAAGTGCTGCGCTGGGCTGGTCCTGACTGCAGTGAACGTCTCAAGGTGTCTCGACGGAAGGCGTCCGGTCAGAACAGACCTTGCTGACAAAAATGCCAGGGCAGGATTTGTTCATTGTTTGTTCGATGGTTTTTTGGGTGAACACGAGTGTGACTATTAGTATTTGTACATTGTAAATTGTAACATTATCATTTTTCAGCAGGTGTAGGCTCTTGCGTCCTGTAATAGTATCACTGCCACGGTCCGGCAGAAGAGGTCATGACGGAAGCTAGCCAGCCCTTGGTACGCTGTTTGCACTGCAGGTACACCCCAGAATTCGTGGACCTCGAGTGGCCACCAATGGTGATGATCCACTGGCAGGGACTAGTCATGATTAGGCATTGATATTCTGTGCCCTAAACTTTCACATTAGATACCAATAATATCCCCTATCTTTGTAAAGAACATGACAGAACAATCGCTTGTCATCCCTTGATGGTGGGTTTGCGTTTTGTGAGTGCAAGCTGGGCGAAGGGGTTTGAATTGTTCTTGTCATTCTAGACATGCTAGATTTCTAAAGATATTCCACAAACAACAACAACAACAACAACAACAACAACAACAACAACAACAACAACA